TATATATATATATATATATATATATATATATATATATATATATATATATATATATATATATATATATATATATATATATATATATATATATATATATATATATATATATATACATATATATATATATATATATATATATATATATGTGCATCCGGAAAGTATTCATAACGCTTCACTTTTCTAGATTTTTATGTTACAGCCTTATTCCAAAATTCATTAAATTAGTGTATTTCCACAAAATTCTACACACAATACCCCATAATGACAATGTGGAAAAAAAAAGATTTTTTGAAAGTTTTGCAAATTTAATAAAAATAAATAACCTGAAAAATCACATGTACATCAGTATTCACAGCCTTTGTCATGAAGCTCTAAATTGAGCTCAGGTACATTCTGTTTCCACTGATCATTCTTGATATGTTTCAGCAGCTTAATTAGAGTTTACTTGTGGTAAATTCAGTTGATTGGACATGATTTGAAAAGGCATACACCTGTCTATATAAGGTCCCAGGGCTGACATAACATGTCAAAGCACAAACCAAGCATGAAGCAAAGGAATTGCCTGTAGACCTCCGAGACAGGATTATCTCACGACGCAAGGCTGGGGAAAGTTCCAGTGAGCACAGTGGCCTCTATCATCTGTAAGTGGAAGATCCTTGGAAACACCAGGACTCTTCCTAGAGCTGGCCGGCCATCTAAACTGAGTGATCGGGGGAGAAGAGTCAGGGAGGTGATCAATAACCTGATGGTCACTCTGTCTGAGCTCCAGCGTTCTTCTGTGGAGAGAGGAGAACCTTACAGAAGGACAACTATCTGTGCAGCAATCTACCAATCAGGCCTGTATGGTAGAGTGGATAGACACAAGCCACTCCCCCCCTGGAATTTGCCAAAAGGCATCTGAAGGACTCTCAGACCATAAGAAACAAAATTCTTTGGTCTAACGAAACTAAACTTGAACTCTTTGGAGTGAATGCCAGGCGTTACGTTTGGAGAAAACAAGGCACCGCTCATCACCAGGCTAATACCATCCCTAAAGTGAAGCATGGTGGTCGCAGCATAATGCTGTGGCGATGTTTTTCAGCAGCAGGAACAGGATGATTAGTCAGGATAGAGGGAAAGATGAATGCAGCAATGTACAGAGACATCATGAATGAAAACCTGCTTCAGAGTGCTCTTGACCTCAGACTGGGGCATCGATTTATCTTCCAGCAGGATAATGAACCAAAGTACATCGCCAAAATATCAATGGAGTGGCTTCACAACAACTCGGTGAATGTTCTTGAGTGGCCCAGCCAGAGCCCAGTCCTAAATCCTGTTGAACATCTCTGGAGAGATCTAAAAATGGCTGTACAACTTCGCTTCCCATCTAGCCTGATAGAGCTTGAGAGGTACTGCAAAGAGGAATGGGCAAAAATTCCCAAAGACAGGTGTGCCAAGCTTGTGGAATCATATTTAAAAAGACTTAAGGCTGTAATTGTTGCCGAAGGTGCATCAACAAAGTTTTGAGCAAAAGCTGTGAATACTTATGTATATGTGATTTTTCAGGTTTTTTATTTTGAAAAAGATTTGCTACAATTAGTTTTTTGTCACATCGTCATTATGGGGTGATTGTGTATAGAATTTTGAGAAAGTAAATTAATTTAATCCATTTTGGAATAAAAATTGTCAAAAAAATCTGAAATGGCTCTTTGCTGAGAAAAGGTTCCCGACCCCTGCACTATGGGATCTTAATCTTTTCTCCAACAACTTTTGATGTTGAAAACTTTGAAAAGATGACTTTTATTGCCATTTTTATTAGTTTAAAGTGATATATTGTCAAGATTGTTGTTGTAAATTACGGTACAAAAACCTGGTAATAAACCGCCAGTACATTTTCTGTTACAACTCTATTGTTTCTTATCCAATGTATAGTTTCAAATGACTAAAATGTAAATATAAGTCACTTTGTTAAACTGCAGTGTTGAATTTTCTACGTCAAAAGTCTAGAGAAAAGAGATCAAGTTCCTATAATGCAACTCATAACTGTAAATAAATAGAAGAAACATGTGAATCATCAAATACAGACAGTGTTAAATAACTTTTATTTCTGACAGTGTACAGTGCTGCTGCTGTGCAAATACTTGTTATTATAATAGCATCATGCTTCAGTAGACTCCATTAAGCTATTTTGCTCCTGCATTTTACACAATCAGCCTCTATTATTTCCTGCCCTGTGTATTTTATATTTTAGTCACGACGATCAGCACTAACTCAGACGATAAATTAATCTTTTGAAACAAACAGCATGATGCATTATTCATTTGCTCCGTTCACACACAAAGGCAAGCAATAAAGCTATTATTTGTTGCGCATGCTCGTACAATTTCACTATTGACTAATTTGGCTGAGGGCTGGCATGGGCTAATGCTTTAATTATGATGGCGTCAATTTCTCTGCTCTCACTCTGAAAACACAAATTCTTCAAGTAGATAGCTGGAAACAATTTCATGTCCTTTGATTTTTGGATTTAAACTTAATGTGCGGCTCACCGCAAACTGACGGAAGGTGAATTTTCAGTTTGTTTTAAGATTTGAACTGCGCAATCATCATCCACGATGACAGACCCGCAGACGAGTGACTGGATCACAGGGTGAATATGTGTGAGATGTCACAATAATAATAATCCTCCTCATCTCCCTCCATGACTGATGAATGGCCACCCTCTGTCATTCCACATTCTGTTCATTTTCCCTGTCAATTTTCATTCGCTTTTCTCAAATGAGTCCAGACACTGCCAAAAAAAAAAAAAACTGAATATATTTGCTGAAGCGTGTTGATGCCACCAGGCAATTTAAATGCATTTTTTTTTTCCTGTCTCAGCCTATATTACTTTTTTGAATGGCTTTGCTACTATATTTTGAGTCTCTATTTTGTACATTTACAGCCGTAGTGTTCGCCACTTTTGTATTCTGTCCTTTAGTCCAAGCAAAAACAAAACATTCACACTGGGCGACTTTGAAAATCCTGTGTTATGTATTGATCAGCAGCTGAGAGAATCACAAACAAAAACACAACACTGTCTCTCTGAGCTTCCCCATATATTAAGGGGTCCTTGAATCTTTTCAGACCAAGGTCCTTCTGTATATTATAGAAATAGTATTGAAATACAACCCATTCTCAAGGAAAAAGTAAGCATCATGGTTTAACTCTAAACATGGATGACACACATAAGCAGATGTATGAATGAGATATGTATGAATTTACAGTGATTAGCCAGTTCGAAAATGCAAAGCAGTTAAGAATTTTAATGACGATGTACTGTGCAACATACATTCACCTGCCACTTTATTAGATACACCTTACTAGTACTTTGTTGGACCCCCCTTTTTCCTTCAGAACTACTTTCTAATTCCTCATGGAATAGATTAAACACTTGAAATATTCCTTAGAGAATTTGGTCCATATTGACATGATAGCATCACGCAGTTACTGCAGATTTGTTGGCCGCACATTCATGATACAAATCTCCTGTTCCACCACATTTTAAATGTGCTCTAATGGATTGAGTTCTGGTGACTGTGGAGGCCATTTGAGTACAGTGAGACTCATTGTCATGCTCAAGAAACCAGACTGAGAGGATTTGCGCTTTATGACATCTTGCTTATGTACTAATGGGCCCAAAGTTTGCCAAGAAAATATCCCCGATACCATTACACCCACACCAACATCCTGAACCGTCGTGTTGTGAATTCAGAGATTCTCTTCTGCATACCTCGGTTGCAATGAGTGTTATTTGAGTTACTGTTGCCTTTCTATCAGCTCAAACTAGTCTGGCCTTTCTCTGCCCTCTGGCATCAGCAAGGCATTTGCACCCACAGAACTGCTGCTCACTGGATATTTTCTCTTTTTTTGGGATCATTCTTTGTATATACCTTAGAGATTGTTGTGAGTGAAAATCTCAATAGATCAGCAGTTTCTGAAATACTCAGACCAGCCTGTCTGGCTCCAACAACCAAGTCACTTAAATCACCTTTCTTCCTCATTCTGATGCTCTGTTTCTGCAGCAGATCATCCTGACCATGTGTACTTGTCTAAATGCATTGAGTTGCTGCCATGTAATTGGCTGATTAGAAATTTGCATTAATGAGCAGTTGGACAGGTGTACCTAATAAAGTGGCCGGTGAGTGTATATGCAATACATACATGCAAAATATAGAAATATCACAATCAGTGTGTTTTAGTTTAACACAATGAAGCACATGAGCACCTTGTTTTGGTGCACTTTCTCATAATAACCATATGTTCGGTCAGTGAAAGTAAATGGTCTTATGTGGATTTTCAAACACATTTGACTATATGAGTATTTACTTTCTAAAAGCCGTGCAATCAAATGTTTTTTCAAATTGCTCAAAACACATTAGATCTTGTTTATACATTTAGCATCATGCCCTTATGATCGGATCGGCAAAAATGTATGTTAATTACAGTTGTAAACTGATCCTGAGGGAATCACAAACACCAAACATTAACACAGACTCTCTCTCTTAGCTTAATTTTTTCAGGCCATGACCCTCTTAATATTGCACAAAGATATATAATATAGTTTAGGAAACAGAATTTTAGCTTCCCTTATATTTATTCATGTCATTACAAAACCATCCCCTGAGGCCTGTCAGTGACATCCATGAACTAGCTGCATACTTGTGAAGATATCAAGTGAACTTTCTGAAGTGAACTCACACTAAGCCTGAGGACAAACTGTGCTAGTCGCGATTATACTGTTGACTGATTAGATGCTCTCTCTCTCTCTCTCTCTCTCTCTCTCTCTCTCTCTCTCGAGGAGAAGATTTAGAGCACTTGTTTTTAAAATGTAAAAGACTAGGTAATTTGTTTGAATTACTTAGAATATGGTTTCAGAGGTTTGAAGAAGATTTCTCAGATAAACTATTTATAGGTGGATTGAAATATAGGTTTATAAAAAGAAGGAAAGTATGTTTATTGAATTATTTATTAGGTACAGCAAAATTAGCAATATGGAAAACTAGGAAAAATAAAGGTATGGGTTTGATGGCAACTGATCCATAAGTAATGTTTCTGTATTTGGTGACAGCGAGAATAAAAATTGAATTTGCGTATTACAACTTAACAAATAATGTAGCTGGGTTCCATGAATGCTGGTGTATTAATGAGGCTCTATGTGTTGTACATGATGATCTCTTGGTGTTAAATTTTTAAATTTTGTATGTTTTTGAATATATCTGAGATGTTTTTTTTAATTGGCAATGTAAGCAATTGATAAATTAAAGTATTATTCAACCTCAACCTCTCTCTCTCTCGGCACAGAATTAAATCAGACATGCTGCATTGGTGACACATGCTGCATATAAGAGTCAATGTTGATTTTCTCTGCTGGATTTAGACAATCTGTGAAAATCTTTACAGTAATAGGATATAGTGTGACTGCATGGCATGAGAAGACACTAGATTTGTCATTCTGGTGAACAAAGGCTTCTAGAAAATGCTGTTTATCAATTTTATACATCCACTGAACATTTTTTATTGTAGAATTTGATTACCAAACAGTTATAGTTTTCATTGTATGGACAAAAATGTCTTTTTATGTTACATGAACATGTTCTTGAACTGTTATATTTTACCATTTGAAAGTATAAAAAAATATTTATTTAACTTTTTTTGATCATGGACAGTTTTACACATAAAATGAGCTTAATTAACACACTTTAAGGGTTTTTGTAGGACAGCTTAATAGTTACATGTTCAAAGAACTGAAAATTGTAAAAACCCTTACGGTTAATCAATAGATTTCCATTGGGACAACATAAAGGAATTGTGTAAAACCAAGCATTTTTTACAGTGTAACTGATCAAAAGTGGTTGTAAAGTGATATATGTTACCAAATATTTTAAGTAAATGCTACTCTTTTAAACAATCTATTAATATAAGAATCCTGAAAAGTAGAATGTGTCATGGTGTCCAAAAATTTGAATTGGAAAAAAATGAACACTGATAATGACAAAATCCATAATTAAATTAGAGAAAAAAAATGAAACTGGTGAAAATATTGCACCACAATGAAATTCTAAAATATAACAATATTGCTTTTTTTTAAGTGTTTTAATCAAATAAATATATCACTGGTGAACATAGGGACCTCATTAGCAAAATCATTGTGATAAAAATCAAGTGATAGTTCACCCAACACTGAAATTCTGAAATTCTCTCATAATTTACTTACACTTCACTCACACAAACCTGTTTTTTTCTGTTGAACAAAAAAGAAGTTATTTTGAAAAATGTTGTCAACCGGTAACCTTTGACATAATTTTTTTATATTTATTTTGCCCTCAATGTCAATGGTTATCAGTTTCTAATAATCTTCAAAAGCTTCTTTTTGTCAACAATCATCTTCTGTTGTGTTTAGCTGTTGTGTAAACTCATAAAGGTTTAGAACCACATCAGAATACAGTTTCATTTTTGGGTAAAATAACCCCTGTTTTAAATCTTTATTATTGTTCATTTATGAAAATATTCATTGTCGTTTTGGCATTAGCCTGAAATGTCAATGCATCTCATGAAAACAAAAGAGAAAGCATGCAGTTTATGCAATGATGCCTAAAGCATCACTAAAGGGTTTATTGTTAGCAATTCTCCTCCAAAAAAAATTTAAAAAAATTGTTTTTTAAAGTATTTTAATCAAATAAATACAGTACTGTGTATTTCCAAGTGAACATTAGAGACCTCATTAGCAAAATCATTAACATTAGTAAACCTTAAAGACATAGTTCACCCAAAACTGAAAATTCTCTCATCATTTACTCACCCTTTACTTGCACAAACCTGTTTCTTTTTTCCGTTGAACACAAAAGAAGTTATTTTGCAAAATGTTGTAAACCAATAACTATTGACTTCTACAATATATTTAATTTTCCTCAATGTCAAAGGTTATCAGTTTCTAACATTCATCAAAATCTTCTTTTCGTAAACCGCCATCTTCTGTTCTGTTGAAATGAAAGAACCACTTGAGAGTTTCATTTTTGGATGAAATAACCATAAATAATGTTTAAAATCTTTAATATTTAATATCATTTATAAAAAATAATCATTGTAATTTTGTCATCAGCCTGATATGTCAAAGCATCTCATGAAAACAAAAAAGAGAATACAATCAATTTATGCAACGACGCCTAAAGCACCACTAAAGGGTCTATTATTAGCTACTCTCCTCCAAAAACAAATATCTCCTAATCCGTTTTCCTAACGTCATCTGTCCCTCAACTTCACTCTCTCATCAACATTCCTTCCATCTTTCTGTTAAAGCTCTCTCTCTCTCTCTCTCTCTCTCTCTCTCCATCTGATCTCTAATTCCTCACCACTGTGGTTTATGCACAGATGAACACCCTCATGACTTGTGTTTACTGTCATTTTCAGATTGACAGGCATTGCGAGCCTCAGATGCCTGCATTTGCGAATCACAGCAAATTACGGATGGTAGACTAGCGAGAAATGGATGGAGATAAGAAGGGAAGGGCTATTTCAGGGAGCGAGTGTCTGGAATGCCAGCTGTTGACTCAACTCCCTCTCTTTCTCTCAGTATCTCTCTCTCTCTCTTTCCTATCTTTGAGTCTTTGTCAGAACCCCTTTCTCAACCTCGAGCCCTCATCACACAAAACTTTTCCAACCACAGAGCCCACGATAATTATAGCACACTGCCATCCTACAATTAACACACACACACACACATAGAAGTAAAAACTCTCGAGCTAGAGCCACCATATAAAAGCCAGCCAGCCAGACAATGCTCACAAGCAGGCAGACCCAGCTCATATAAACACTGAGAAAGCTGCTGAGTGGATTCATGGTGTTTTGAATAAGAACTTGATCACCGGTTCAATTTGAAGTTCTGACTGGATATCGATTTGAGAAAGCATCTCAACACTAATGAGCGCGAGCAATTCTTCTGCCTATCGATCGGAGCGTAGTTACCATCAGACGTCATCCTCCTCATCTTCATCCTCTACCTCTGCAAACCCATACATGGAGAAGAGCCGAGGACTCTTCGCTGACGACTTTGGATCTTTCATGTGTCCGAAGGATGCTTTGGGATTTCCAAGTGAGTGGAAAGCTATATGCAGATCTTTATGGATCTGTATAACTTGTTTTTGAATGTGATTTATTGCTGTTTGTTTTCATATTCTATTTAGTTTTCTGCCCGCTAGGGGTTGTATAATATGTCAGCTGCATGAGGCCTGAAAATACATGTATTTGTAATAGTATAAATATTGTTATCACTTTATACTGTCGTTCATAAAAATAAAGCTTCAAAAGTTTGGGTTCTTAATATATTATTAATAATATTTGTATTCTTAATATTCATAAATATCTTTATTGTGTAACCTTTAACATTCATTCCAAGGATGTTAAAGGTCAACATTGACAATAATAACCCTTTTTAATGATTCTGACTGATTTTTGACAGATCATATTAGGAAAATACAAATAGATAAATAAATAATTAAAATATTAAATATTTTTATTAAATAATTATGTATTAAATTGCATATTAAATATTAAAAATATTAATAAATTAAAAATATATTCCCATAGAAGAGTTATTTTAAATTGAAGTAATTTAATAAATTAAATATTAAATAATTAAAATATATTGACATAGAAGAGTTCATTTAAATTGAAATAATTTATTAAATTAATTATTAAATAACTAAAATATCTTCACATAGAAGAGATAAAAGATAAATTTAAATTATAATAATTTAATCAATTTAATATTTAATAATTAGAATATATATACATTTAAATTGAAGTAATATTATCTAATATAACATTATTTATTTCATTATTTTTCTAAATAAGTTCAGCCTTGTTTTAATTATTGTGTGTGTGTGTGTGTGTGTGTGTGTGTGTGTGTGTGTGTGTGTGTGTGTGTGTGTGTGTGTGTGTGTGTGTGTGTGTGTGTGTGTGTGTGTGTGTGTGTGTGTGTGTGTGTGTGTGTGTGTATATATATGCCAATAGCAAACCTTTATTTTTAAAAGAAGTACATGAGATGTATTTAATAATCACAGTTGCATTCTGGTATAAGTAAAAAACTGAATAGTCAGATGTGCTGTACAAGGGTACCTGGGGGGCAGAGAGAGGGTAACTCTGGGAATGTTTTGGGCCAGAGCCAATGCTGTGACTTCATTGTTGGGGAATGACCTAACAGCGAGAGCACGGTCTGTTGCCAAGCGTGATATTGAGATTCACCAAGGCACCTTTTCACACTTCATTAGAGAAGGATATTAATGCACTGGAGTTTTTGATATAGAAGTGCTTGTGTAACACAACAGAGTATACAGTGTGCATGACTCATTGCTGATATAATTATTGTTTAACACAATTTAATGTGTATTAATTTTTACTTTATTAAAACTGCATGAGATTTGGTGACTTTTGTCACACTTATACAATGACAGAAAATGTTAAATGCTTAACTTTTGCTATAAATAGGCAGCTATAGGAAATATTGGGAAATCACTCTTTCATATGTAGACAAACCCAATCATTGGATTAAATTTAATTTCTCCGTATTCGGCTCAAATTTGAGTTGAAACATCACAGACTTTTTAGTCATAAAAAAGACCTGAAGCAAAAAAAAAGACATAAAACTTACATTTGAGCTTTGATTTAATTTAATAGTCTGTCTAATATTATGTGTACAGCTGAGGTCAGAGTTATTAGCCCTCTTTTCAGATAGACTAAAAGCAGTTTTTAATTTTTTTAATGTGTAAAAATTATTAGCCCCTTTAAGCTAATTTTTTTTTTCCCGATAGTCTACGGAACAAACCATTGTTATACAATAGCTTGCCTAATTACCCTAACCTGCCTACCTAATTAATCTAGTTAAGTCTTTAAATGTCACTTTAAGCTGCATAGAAGTCTTGAAAAATATCTAGGAAAATATTATTTACTGTCATCATGACAAAGATAAAATAAATCAGTTATTAGAAATGAGTTCTATTGTTCTGTTGAAATATATTGTTTACCGTTCACAACCAAGGTCACTTTCATGGGAGTTTCAAAGCAGCTTTCTATTGGTCAACATTGCAAATCTGCTTGACCAAAATCTGTGTTGTGAAATCTGTATGGGAAAATATTTGTAAAATTCACCATTTCAAGGATTCATATTGTACACATTGCATGCTGAACAGCTATGAATATAAATGAATATAATATAAATCAAACACTTGATTTAGTTTGAGTTTTGTTTTCTTGTTAACAAAAAGGTGATTTTTTGAAGAAAACCAGTTACTATTATTAGTGAAATACCTGCTAACTTTTGACAAGGTCTGTCCAACATTATATTTCTGCCATGCAACTAATACAGATTAACAATTATTGTTGCATTGTCATGGTTTATTTTTCTGTTATGTACAGAGATTTGACATAAATTATTTATCTCCCCTCCAATCATTTTCCATCATCATGTTACATTTTGGTAATTTTCCCTCCAAATAAAATTTACCCAAAGCTCACAACATGACCTCTAAATAAATACGGGTGCTGTGACTGCTATTGTTGCTATATTTAGCATCCCTATACAAGAGAGTGGCATAACAGTGTTTAGCTGCTTTTACACATGAACATAAAAAAAACATGTTTTAGCTTTTATTTAAATTTAAAAGAACAAAGGGAGCTGATACATGTGTTACAAAGGCAATTACTGATGCGTTTTGTATCCGCTTGTTAAGTCGTGACGTATCAGTGACGTATAGAATACTGTTTTCAGGTCCAAGCAACTACTCATTGAAATTGAGTAAATATTTGCTTGTGGTTACTTTTTAGTCCTATATCACACTTTAAAATAAATTTTATATAAAATCATAGAGTACACAACATTCTCTGGACTTGCTGCATCACAAATACCAACATTTTAATAAATTATAAAAAAAAAATGTTTCACTTTGTGAAGTTTATTTATAAACTAATTTCGAGAAGATCACATGGCAATGATTGAACACAGCTGGTTCTGCATTAGCTATCTATAATCCACCAATCAGGCGATTCCTAACCCACTATAAAGAGCCACGGTTTCTCACTACAGTCATCTTTGACTTGAAGAATCCCACCTTCTATCCCTACTTCTCCAACTTTCCCTTCATAGGGCAGCATGGTGGCCCAGTGGTTAGCACTGTTGCCTTACAGCAAGAACGTCACCGGTTCTAGTCCTTTAATAGGCCAGCTGTCGTTTCTGAGCATAGTTTGCATGTTCTTCCCGTGCTCACGTGGGTTTTCCCTGGGTTCTCCGGTTTTCTCCCACATTCCAAAAACATGCACAACAAGTGAATTGATCAATCTAAATTTAGCACTACAGTCAAACCCTCATCCAGCAGCATATCTCTTCATAGCAATCATTTCAGTCATCAGCTCTTATCAAGGGGGAGCTATCGAGATCTACCTGAGCTCAAAGCTCCCCTCTCGCCCTGCAAACGGGAGGGAGCCCAGGGTTTAATGCCAAACATGCTTATAATCAATCATCAGCTAAGTGTATTTGGTGTATATATATATATATATATATATATATATATATATATATATTGCGATCGTGATTTTCGAAAGTATTACATCGTTTTGTAAACTTTTATCATTACCATTTACCATAAAGTTTGAAATAGCGCTTGGACCCGGAAGCCGCTTCGCGTGATGTCACACTTACAAACGTATAATGTTCTTGTTGCATCACAACAGTGGAAAATGAAACCGTATCTGTCCTGTTTAGCCTTGTTTGGCACGGAATGGAATAGTTCAGCATAAAGACCGATTCAGCGTGATAGTGGAAAAGCGGCTATTTACTTCCATTGTGAATAAATAAATACTTTGAAGTCAATGGTTACTTGTTTCCAAAAGTTTTCAAAAAATATTTTGTGTTCAACAGAACAACAAAACTTGAACTGGTTTGAAACATGTGTGCGTAAATGATGACAGAATTTACTTTTTTTTCATAAACCATCATTTTAAGGAAAAATAAAACTACTGAATGCTGCGATTGGCCGATCAGATTAGTGAGAGCCATGTAATAATCAATCAGTTCTTACATTAGATTTTATGTTTTTCATCAGACAGAACAGGCACTGTTGGAAACATCAAGACTCTTGGAGACACATACCAGTTCACAGTGGACGTGCAAGACTTCTCGCCTGAGGATGTGATCGTCACCACCTCAAACAATCAGATTGAAGTTCATGCTGAAAAGGTAAACACAAACATCTGCACAACATAACTGTGAATTGTTTTATATAATTGTTTAAATACCAAAAACAATGTGTGTGCATTTCTTTCAACAGCTTGCTAGTGATGGGACAGTGATGAACACTTTCACCCATAAATGCCAGCTACCAGAAGATGTGGACCCCACTTCAGTGAAGTCCAGTTTAGGGGCCGATGGGACTCTGACTATAAAAGCACAGAGAAACACAGCTAAACTGGAGCATGCACAGACGTTCCGCACAGAGATCAAAATCTAGACCTGTGCCCTCCTGCTGTGTCTGTTTCACTGTGATAAATGACCTTGAAAATATAGCTACTTAGCCCTGCTTTGTCATTCCTCCATGACCTTCTCTCATTTCTGCTCATTAGACTTGGATGGAATTTAATCCTGTCACATGTATTCAAAACCTTTAAGATGAATGCACTGCTAACGTCAGCTCTCTGCTAATGACATATCAGCTTACAGGACAAAGTGGGCTCCAAAATTCTGGAAGTACATTTAATCCAAAATATAATTGAAACATTGAAAGATATCAGAATATATATGGCTATACAGTAGATATAGTACTTTAGTACTTTAAATTAAATTTAGTTCACCCAAACATGTAAATCCTGCCATTATTTACTCATTTTCCACTTGTTCCAAACCCAATTAAGTTCCGTTGAACACAAAATAAAATGTGCAATGATGGAAAAGAGCAATGATTGACTTCCATGGTATTTTTGCTCCTATATGTATATGGATGTCAATAACATTGTCTTCAACATTCTTCAAAATATCTTGTGTTTAACAGAAAAAAGACTTTCATTTTCAAATTTAGCACCGATTAAAACTTTTAAATGTGTGGCTTCAAAAAGATCCTCAGATATTTCTCTTTTATTGAAGCTTAAGATGATCTGGATTAACGCTGTGCAATATATTATTACAGCATCGATAGCACCCGCAAAAGTCACACAGCAAAATATGCAATGTTGGGCTGGGATTATAGTTGGCCAGAAACCACAGGTCACAACACATGAGATTTGTAGAATCACTGCAGAATTTTACCACAATAGAATTAAAAGTTTATTATTTGCATGTGTTTTAAGAGAGTTTAAAGCATTTTGATAGCACATTAAGAATAATAATAAAGATAATTTAATAAAGATTAATTTTATTAAATAGTTTATATGATGAAGTCTATGTTAGTTGTAGTTGCAATTTCCTTATTTATTCAATAATATTTAACTAGTAAACATTGCTTTATATAAACGAATACAGTCTCATTTTTTACATTTTATAATGAACTTATTACAGTAAAAATCTCATTTATAACAGAGTTGCACTGTTTTTTGCCTTTATTTGCTCACTCATTCAGGCCCGTAGTCAGCCTATTAAAAGGGGTGGTTCTTTTTTATGAAAAGGGAGCTTTTTGCAGTTATTCTTCTCAATTTTAATTAAATTGTATGTTCAAATACAGCATTTTAGTGACAATTTACACACTAATCTTTGCTCCATTACCTTGTTGGATGGTGATCATAACCATACTTTTAGATGCAACAAAGAAATTACCTACAATTTTGTCAAAGTGCCTACCATACTATTTTACCTTAAAGTGTTTATTTAGAAATGTGCATTTAAACTTCAAGTTATTAGAGTTTTATAAAAATGTTATGAGATTAGAATTTTAAATTAAACATTTTGAATAAAGAAGTATGTATTCTGGACTTTTTCAGTGGGGTGTGGGTCAACACCCCCCCCCCCCCCCCCCCCAGCTTTTTTTTTCTTTTTAGCTCAGCAACAAAACAAACAAACAAAATTGTTACATCAAATTAGAAATGACATCTCTGTTATAGGCATTTGCCCCAACCCTTTCCATCATTTTCAGATGGGATGGTGGGCCAAATCACAGATTACAATGAGCTAACTTTAGCCCACAGGCCCTATTTTGGGCTGCTCTGGTCTATGCAATTTCTTTTTTAAATTTAATTGTTTAATTTCTGTAACCGAATACAGTTAGACTCTCTCCAAAAAACCATAAAGCACTGTTCATTTCACTTTAATATTTGCTCTATTGTGTTTATCTATGACTGTAGTTTGTTTGTTATATCTAAAAAATAAATGACATAAAAATATATTTATATTTCACTCCCTTACAAAACCATCCCAAATAAATCTAAGTGAATAACTTTTCAAAAAGAGCTATTTAAGTCATCTGGTGAAATTGTATTCATATCGCAGTATATATTGCAGGCAACAAAATATTGCAATGTCAAATCTTTCCAATACCGTGCAGCCCTAATCTAGATCACTTCAAATCCTGATGGAGAACATGATCATCAGGTTTTACACAAACATGTGAAGATTATGCATCCCAAATTCAGCCAGGATTGTCTACTTTAATATCACTTAAATTTATGATAATGATGTAATGGGGAAAAACATTTAGTAGTAGTATGTTTCAGACTTTTGGAGCTCATTGCTTGTCTAAATAAATATGCAACTCATTCCCAGATGGTACAAGACAGATTCACTGAATGTGTTATTTTTATCAAAAGCTACATTTTATAATCGTGTTGTGTTGAGTGATTGAAACACTAATTCAGAAAATAAAAACACATTTGATGATTATTTTGAGCAAATGATTTAAGTCTGAGTCAATGTGAGTCTGTCTTTTGGTTCATGTCCACTTTCATCCATGAGCAAATGACAGGTACTCGATGTGTCTCTGAGCACTTCTTCTATAAATAGAGACTGCTGTTATTTTTCAGTCTTATCATCTACTATTTTTGTACTTAATGTCATCCATCAACTTGTCGCTATCAGTGTGTACCAGATACAAATGCATACAAATCACCACCTGTTGAACATATTAAAGCAGCTTATTTATTTTCAATTTTGTTCGATAATAATAATGATGGGCTATATAAAAATATATACTTAATTAAACTGGAAAAACATTTAAAATGGAGCCTGGTAAATTACACTGGTACAAAGTGTATATTAATGTGTACAATTACTGAGGAAATGCAAACGATAACACAAGGTTAAGAAGACACATTATAGATAATATTTAAATGTGAATGTGAGATTTAAAGTAGATTAGGCAATAAAATGAAAACTCTGACAATAAAACATCTTTTTTGGTGTGTATATTTATTTATTTTCAAACTTAAACTCACAACTAACATGAATAATGAAAAAATATTATAAAATCAAGTAAAAGGGGAGAAAATATCTCTTCAATTGATCAAAAAATGAAGAACAGGTTATGAATTATTAAACAACACACTCGTGGTGGTTTTTAAAATGCACAAAATTTCCCAATTCATAAGACAATTAAATCTATGGACATTCCCTCCCTCTGGTCTTATGATTAGATCACTGTGTTTAATAATAGCTAAAGCTCGCCGTCATGTGGCCAAAACAGAATCTACCGCGCATGCGCAGTTGTGCTTCACTCCCAGCCATTCGCTCGGCCACTATCAATCGATCAGAGAGCAGAAGATGGCGGCGAGACGAGACTGAGCGCTGAGATCGATCACCGAAACACTCGATTGGACGGACGAGCTGAACTCGGGGAAAGCTACAAACTTGTTCATTGTATAAGGTAAATAACTCCAAACACAACCCTGTCTACGGATAGTTTTAGGGCTATTCTTCTGATAAGTCTCTAAAGGGAGGCACGGCTAAAATAAGCAAAGAAAAGGCAGGATTACAGCCCGCCTCTGTCGACGCCATCTTGATCCAGTAGGGCCAGGCACGCTGAATTAATCCCGGAGCTGAGACAAACAGAGAGTGAGGGCTCATAATCAATCCGCAACATCGTCAATCATGATCGTGTTGTGGAATTGCGCAGTTTCTGTCTAATCACTCGACAAATTTACTTGCTTTACTGTTAATCAGTCATCATTGTGCTCGACGAGTCTCGGACTGATAACGATATATTGCATTACTGCAGGCCAAAAAGTCCCGTGCGATTTCGATATAAACCTATCTATGTCGCACATTAAAACACACGAACTGCTACATAATGATGTTTGTTTATTGAAGTGAGACATGATGTGTGCTGGATGATCAATGTCTATTTTAGAGTAATGCACATAAGATGGATACTTTTGTGTCGTGATGAGGTCTTAGAAATCTTTTGTTTTGACAGAAATATATGCCACATAAACAAACACATACACAGAATCAGGTTTACTGTTAACCGCTGTTAGCTTTACCGTTATAAATGCAAATATCTAATCATCAAAATTTTATACATATAAATGAAATAATTGTGTGTGTGTGTACACACTTATTTCTTATGTAGTGGTATGTTTTTTACATTTGTGCCATCATTCAGATTATTGGTCAGACATTTGTAAGTGAATTTTGCCAATAACCATATGTTAAGGTAAGAGCCAATTACAGATGTTTAACCAACGCCTGACCCCCGATTTGTTTAAATTCGTTTTAATGAAAGTTTATTTATATTGTGCTTCTCACAAGGGCGTAGAAGTAGCATGGACAGAGGGGACGTGTCCCCATCAATATCCACCTATTACTGAAATGTCCCTACAAATAATTTAATCGACCTCAAAATAAAGAAATGCTCTGTCACTTAGGCATGGGCCGGTATAAGATTCTGACGGTATGATAACCTTGGACAAAAATATCACGTTTGTACGGTATCACGGTTGTGATTACTTCTCTAAAATATGCTCTTTTTAAATGTCTGGGTAAAACCAAAAACTTTTCCCCCCTTTGAACACAATATATTTTATTTTAAGCCACATTTAAAATATTTTGGAACAGTAAACACTTCAAGCTAAATAATTCAAATGAATCATTTACTTCTGCTGTCTTCATTAGTTTCAAAAACACAGATTTCTTTAAAATTTAAAACGGCATCTTTTGATTTTTTTTTCTGCTGGAGATACTGTTGTCCTAAAAAACTAAAATTTTAATTTAAAAATATTACACCTTAGGAACGGTATAACAGAAAATTTTGACGGTTTTAAAACCTTTTGTTTAAAAGACTTTTCCAAATCGCTCCGCGGTATTCCTTGAAAATGGTTATCGTCCCATGCCCAGTCAACTCTAACACGTGCACCAAGTCAAGTTTCCTACTAGTTCATCTTAATACTACTAAGCAAAGCAGTGCAATTAATCAAAATTCAGTTTTGATTTTGGCCTCCATGATTATGAAAAATAATAATCAGGATAAAACTGTTAAATTACCTTACACACCTCTCTAAATTTTTCTACATTCATACCTCTTTAAAGCCCGACTGCAATAAAATCATGTAAATTGACTTTTGCAGCATGGGATGGGATTGTTATTTGTATTATTAAGTGTTTATTTTATATTATTGCGTACTTTAATCATGTTTTTAAAAGTGCGTAACAGAATTTGTGCTGTTCAATGCATGCGCTCTTGGGATGTATGTCCCCACCAATGTCAAAAGCAAATCTACTCCCTTGACTTCCTATAATAATAAATTATTTTTTAAAAATTATAATAAATTATAATAAATTGCATTCCAAAACAGACAGAAAAGCCATGTCTCTGCTTTAGAATAATAGCAACGGTATTATCTGTGTCAATGGGTCTATAGCAGACACAACTGTAAATTTAGTTTTAGAATAATAATATTATGCAGGTACTAAATGTAGGTATTCATGTGGAAATTAACCTAGAAATGACTGGATTCTGTAATAAAATTAAAAA